CCAGTTCATTTACTGTTTAACCACTATTGTATTTCAGCCTAAGCTGATGGCTTGTTTTGTTCCTATTACATTGCAACCTTGTTTCAGGAAGAATCTTCTTACTCTTTTTTTGTTCTATGTGAGCGCAAGGGAACACTCATTTTGCGGTGACTGCTCCTACCCTCCATTTTGCAGTTTAATAGGAGCTTGAGTCATACTTGAAATGTTTTTTGGTTGTGGATCCACCACCTTGTTCCACTACCATCTTTTTTTCCCCTCTTTGTCACGGCTGTAGAATGGACTAGAGAATTTGGTATGTGTGATTATGTAAAATGTTATATTCTTATGCTCTGTCTCTAGAAAAGTCTTACAAATTTTTAACTCTGTTTTTTTTATTTCTGGTTGGAAAGTGACTTCCACAGATCTTTTTATGACAGCAGCCTGTTGCTTAACTCCCCTTGTTAGAGTTGCCTTTTTTAAAAAAGATCTCTCCCAAATCCTAGAGGTGACTTCACTCCCATCCTAAGTATTATAACATTAATGGACAAGGACTGATACATCTCTTTCTAGATGACTTATGTCTAGAAAGGCTTATTCCTCATTTGACAATTTATCTGAAAGTATGTCCTTCAATTGCTTTAATACTTTGTGGTCTGAAATAGCTTGAGCAAAAACTCCTGATTAGATTCCAGCAGAATTCTCTTAATAGAGGCAATTACTTAATAAAAGCAGTAACAAAGAAGAAATTATGTCAGAGATTTTAGGCTGATGTTCTGTTTACCGTCAATTCTTTGAGAAATAAGAGCTTAATGCAAGATTGATTTCATTATACTGACCAAGCTTTTTCAAAAAACCACAAGTAGTTAAAAGCATTTGGGAAATAAAATTGTGCTGTATTTAAATGTGCCAGTTATGTGCTCAAAGCCCTACATAAAAAATTAAATTTTCAGTTTAAATGACAATCTGTCCAGTTTCTATATTTGTTTTTTTAGTGTCTGACCAATATTATACTTTTCTAGTCTGAGAGGTAATAATAATTCATAATGCTCAGAGCAATTGGAAACAGAAACCAGTCCCTTTTAATTGTTTCCTTCCGTTGTATTTAATTCAGCTTCTCTGGATATATTAAGATTCTTGGATGATGGGTTTGTATTCTGCTTGTTGTCTGAATAATAAAAGCTGGACCCTACAGGAAGATGTAGAAAAATAGGGTATTCCAAGCTATTTTTGAGAACCAACCAAACTTGTAGGCGAACTTTTGTAACTAGCCCTTTTTTTTTTTGGATGTTTTGGGTTGGAAGGGACCCCTAGAGGTCATCTAGTCCAACCCCCCCGCAGGAGCAGGGACACCACTAACCAGATCAGGTTGCTCAGAGCCCCATCCAACCTGGCCTTGATGGGATGGGGCCTCTCCACCACCTCTCTGGGCAACCTGTTCCAGTGTTTCACCACCCTCATTGTAAAGAATTTCTTCCTTATATCTAGTCTAAACCTACCCTGGTTTAGTTTAAAACCATTACCCCTTGTCTTGTCACTGCTGGCCCTAGTTTTTCCAATGTTTATATTAAAAATTCAACATTCTATGGATGCTACTAATATTTAAAGTTAATTTTTTAGTTTGTAGTGTTTAAGGGAAGATTACTTTCTCCTGTTTTAGTTTCATTTACTGTTTTCAGCACAACTTCATCCTGTTTTTCTTGCTCACATGTTGGGGTGAGGGAATATACTTATTAAACTATGAAAAATGTCTCTGGATTTTGGAGGTGAGCACTCCTTCTGGTTTTTAAATCATGCAGAGTGTTCTGTCTTCAGCCCCAGTTGTTCTCTAGGTCTATTTTCTAGCTTAACCAGACTGTTTTGATACCTTGCAATTTCTTTCTTCATTATTCTGGGCACAAGTCTTCCTTCTTCATCGACAGGGTCAAACCCCAGGTATAGGTTCTGATGATCTCATACCCATTGCTGCAGTGTCCTGTTTTCTAATTTTGAGGAATGCAATTCTTGCCTGTTGATTTCCATCCTGACTGTTGCAAAGATCACTATTCCAGCTCATTGCTTTAACGGTATTGCATTGTTTGCTTCTCCTTTTTCTGTGCTCTCGCATCTCCAATATAAGCTATTGTTCTCACTTTGAAGGCTGTGTACCCTTCCACCCCTCTTTCAGTACTGAGATCTCATCTGTGCTTCAGTGATGCTGGTGTTCAGGCTCAAACTCTTAGATTTTCAAATAAATATCGCTGGACTTCCTCTGAAATGTATGGAGCAACCTGGGTGAGAAAAAAGACATTCTAAGCTCTGTGAGGCAAGGTACTATCAAACTTTATTGTATTTGTACAGTGACAAGTGACTGACTTTAATGGACTTTCGGTCTATGGTAAACAGGTATATTCTGCCATAATACCAATTCAACAGGTACTTGTTGGAACTATGTCCAGCATTAAGTCACTAGATTGGAAATGCCTGTGTTAGAAACTGTTAATCAGATTCAGCAATGCTTCAGCTTTTCTCCTTTAATAAGGAATGTCATATCTACCCTTGTAGACCTGAGACTTAAAAATGTGCTAATGCTCTTCAGTACCTTTAACTAGTATGATTATTATTTTTCTTAATAGTTTGGCTCAATGCATGCTTGTATGTCTGAGCAGATCTGTGTTTAGCCTAACTGTGGCAATGCCAATGTAATCTTTCTCCTCACCACATCATTTGGCTGTCCTGAGGAAGGAGGGAGACGATTTCAGCCCAGGGGAGAAAATCAGGACTGAGTTTTTCTCCCTCGGTAGATTGTGTAGCAAAGGAAACATGGTCATTTGTATTTGATTTTTATAACTAGCTTGCCCACAGGCAAGAAAAAGCCCCTCTCCCTACCTTTGTCCTTCTTAATGATACAGATGTGACCCAAGGCATTACTCATTACAGCGTAGGGGGAAAGAACTTTTCAGAAAGTAACTTTGTAAACAGACACAGGTAGGAATTTATTGGTTTTAACAATATGATATATTTTTCCTTTTTTTCATAGAATCATTTAGGTTGGAAGAGACCCAACCTCCTGTCAGGCAGCTGTAGAGAGTGATAAGGTCTCCCCTCAGCCTCCTTTTCTCCAGACTAAACAACCCCAGTTCCCTCAGCTTCCCCTCACAGGGCTTGTGCTCCAGGCCCCTCCCCAGCTTCGTTGCCCTTCTCTGGACATGCTCCAGCCTCTCAATGTCCTTCTTGGAGTGAGGGACCCAAAACTGAAGCCACTATTGGAGGGGTGGCCTCACCAGTGCCGAGTACAGGGGACGATCACTTCCCTGGTCACGCTATTTTTGATACAGAAAGCCTTGTACTGTGTATTGCATTTCTTTTCCTAATTTAAGTAACACTGAAAAAGTTTTAACCGAGCATTAATTTAAATCCAATTTCCTGTCTCTCTTGAGGAGAAAGGAGGAAGAGCTTAATTTTTTTTTTTCTTTTGCTTTTAAATTTTCCCACCCCTGTGGCTTGAGGAAGCTGTGTGAAGAACGCGTTCCCACAGACTGGGGGTCTCCAACAATGACATTTCCGTTTGCAAGCAGGCAGCAGGACCGCAGGCGAGGCTCAGACCACTGCCTTGGGCATTGTGAGCCCGAGCACGTACGCTTACGTCACCAGAGTCTGAACCTGCATTTGGTGGACTTTGTATAAAAAGTGCTAAAGCTGAGCAGGAAATGGAATTTCCCTCACATTCTTCTAGAAATTGCCTTTAGTTTTGGTTTTTTCCTCTCTTGGAGGGGATTGCAGTTGTTTTCCATTTGTAATCCAAATCATTGGTTTGACAAGAAATACAACTGCCTTCGTTCCCAGCCTGTGTGGCACAGTAACACTGATTCCGGGTGGATTTTTCTGCGTTAGGAATGACAGGTTCTAGTGTCTTGTCAAAGACAGGTGATGACTATTAAAATTGCTGCCAGGTGAAAGGTTTACTTGTGTGATTGTGTTTCTGCAATTCTGTGATTGGAGGTTATAGTTCCTGCTACATTAAAATTTTAAAAACTAAGTAGGGGAGCTCGTTGGCTTCTGCTTAAGACCAGTTAAGTGTGTTAGATATTAAAGCATATTTATATTTCTCCATGAAGGTCTAAAAGATAAACTGTGAGTAGTTGTTACTGGTTGTTTCTTAATTAAAGGTTAAACTGACTGCTATCCACTTAGCCTATTTACCATTCTTTACTGTATACTTGGCTGCTGGAAGTCAATTTAAAAGGTCACTGAGGGATCTTGTTCATAACTCTCTTGGACTGGGCTGACTCTTTTTACAATAACGCATACAGTCTCAGGAGATGCATTTACCAGTGCCACTGACTTTCCTACTGGAACTAAAAGATCAAGAGTACAATTTCAGTTCCAATCCCAAAGATAATGATTCCCTGCTGCTGTCAGTGTTAAATCTGTTGGAACGTCTTTATTTCCAACTGAAACTTAATTTTTGTTTGTGATATTGTTCACATAAGTTTCTGTACAGAAATGGTTTGTTTAGAAGAGAAAATACTTGTCCTCATCAGTAGAAATTTTGTCTGGATATTAATGCAGTAGAAACAGAAATGTAAAATTTTACATTAACAGAGATACTGCCACATGGTCTGCTTCAGGGATTTTGGACGTACAGTTCTAACTTGATTGCTTTTCTATTTTGGTGTGTACAGTTGTACCAAATCTATACTCTTACCTTCTCTAGCACAATATTTCACAGTTTTTAACACACACATTTTGCACTTGGGGGGGGCCTTAATATTACTTTGATTTAATATACAAGATAACTGACTTTTTTATCACTAAATTTGTTTTGCTGTTCTCTGTAGTAGTGGATTTTGGTTTCGTACCACAGAACTTTAGTATTAGGCTGTTCACTTTCTCTGCTGATTTCTTCAAAGGTATTTAAAAAAAAACAAACAAACAAAAAAAAACCAAAACACAAAAAAACCCCATAAGTATTGGTGGATTGGTAGAACTAATACTTGTTAGATTATGATTTTAATATTATTTATATTTTTTTCTCCTTCAAGAATATCGACATAACAAACTTCAGCAGTAGCTGGAACGATGGCTTGGCTTTCTGTGCAGTCCTCCATACCTACCTCCCAGCCCATATTCCCTATCAAGAGCTAAATAGCCAGGACAAGGTACAACATTAAAAATCCCATTCCTGAGACTGCAAGACTGTATAATGAGTATGGGTTAATAAAGAAGAATGAACAAATTTGCATTCTAAAAACCCCAACATTACTAGGAGTCATAATTGAAACACTTCAAACTACCTTGCTGCTATTCTTAACCTTTTAATATTATGAGATCATTGGGTTAAATGGAACTTTGGAACAGATGTAAGAAAAAAAAAAAAAACAAACAGAAGGTCATAAATTTAAGTCTGAGGCATTTTATTTAACAGAAGCAGTTGGGAAGTGTTTTCAGTTTGCATTTTGGAAGCAAGGAGTGTTTAAGCTTAAAGATTTAAAATCCATCAACTTTGTATCTTGACATATTTTGTTCATCTCAATATCACAAGGATGTTGTTTCATCCTATTTTCTCATAAGTGATTGTGATGCTCTTCTCAAGTGAGATGTAACAAATAAAGGTTAACTAAAAGATGTCAAGACTGCAGAGTAGTCTGTATTCTAGTGTACTAAAGTTAATACGTACTAGTGTGTTACCTGGAGGTGTATTATCAATGATAATTCCTAATAAGATATCAGAATATTTCAATAGCACGTGAAGACTTTTGCTTTATTTTTGCTTTTAAAGAATAAATAACTTATTCTTTAGCTTTTTATAACTCAGTCATTCTTCACTGACAATGTTTTTTCAGCATTATCTTCTGAATGAGGTATTCATAAAAATTTTCCATAGATTTTTGGATTATATTGGGACATGTTCATTCCTATGGCTCTTTTTAAATTACTGTGGTCAAATTATAGACTCCATTTGAAACAAAAGTAGCAGCATTACTATGAACATTCTTAACACTGCTTTATTATGTTTGAAGTAGTACTTCCTTGGATTCTAACACTGATTTTATATCTCATGCAGAGAAGAAATTTCACTTTGGCTTTTCAGGCAGCTGAAAGCGTTGGTATCAAATCTACTCTGGTAAGTTTTAAATGCATGCTGAATGAATTATGTCCCATTTATAAAAATCAAATTATTGTTTTGTACTTTTGAAAGATTTTGATGCTTTATACTTAAAAATAGCAGCAGATGAGCTCAGCTAGAGGTTATTGTCCCTGTATCATACTTGACTGAAAAACATAAAAGAGATTCCCTACCTCAATGGCTTTGTTTAATAAACCCACTGTCATCAACAGCTTGAACTTACATGTTTTTTGCATTAAATAGTAACTGAGATACAGACCTGTACTCCAGCAGCTGCAGCAAAGGCAACAGCATGATAGCCTATAGCAGACAAACTCTTAAGCTATAAAAGATTCACCAAAACTCATCTCTCAATATCATAAGAAGGCAATGGATTTATTTGAGGGTAATTTGAGAAATAGTTATGTGATACAACCTTCAAGAATTCATTAATTCTCTTCTGTCCCTGACCTACTTTCAAATTATTTGGGTTTTTTGGAATTCTGGAGGTACAAATCAAGCTACATAATTTTGCTCAGTGTAATATGAGAGTCGAGATTTTAACTCAAGTTTAGAATTTTGATTTGTCATCACTGTAAATAATTGAAAGGTTTTTTCCAGTCATTGTTTATAATAAGCTTTCTTATACAAATTTTAGCTTAATAGAAGTAGTTTTCAGTAGTATAGTATTTACTAGAAAAGGAAGATTTCTGAAGGTATGGAATTGGGAGCATCCCAAGCCCTTGTGAGTAATCACAAAAATTCAGCTAAAATTGCCAGTATCAGAAATTATACTTAAGTGATACTTTTGTAACCTAAATTCTAACAAAGCTGCCAGAGTTAGCAACTAATAATACAACAAAGTCAGACATTTTTAAAAATAACACTTTCTTGATCCTTATCAGAGCCTTTACCCCCCCCAGTATTGTATTTGCTGACAATAGAAGTGCAACTGTTGGGCTTCAGTATTTAGTCAGTGATTTGAAACGTGGAAGTTTCATTCCAAGTGCTGATGTAAGACCGAGACTGTGGAAAATAACTGCAGTAATTCTTACATAATTCAGCTTTAGTCTAAATGGTTGCTGTCTGTCCTTCCTTTTTGTAATGTACTTAATTACAGATATTCTAAAAAGAATTAAATCTTCTAAATGCAAATTGTATCCAACTTAAGGATTGAGTATCTGTTTACGTACCTACATACACAGTGTGTATGATGAGTACGTTCGTGGATTTTTTTTCTTTGTCCATATTGCATGGGTGGAGGGTGAAAGGTGTGAAGACTACTGTAAATAGTAATGGTAATGTAAGGGGAAGTTATTTGTTCTCTGAATGAGAAAGTGCTCAGCTACTTTCATGTGGAGAATTTAAAAAAAATTACTTTCTCTTTTTTGAGTTCTGGAGGTTCATGGACCCAAAGCTCACAAAATAGACCTTCACAGTAAACAAAAATTATTAGAAACTACATCACTGTTTTCCTTTGTGTATGTGCTGAAAAGGGTAGATCAGGCTTTGTTTACCCTGCTTATTCACTGACAATCTGGTATACTGTTACTAAGAAATACGTGTGAACTGGCCTATCAGCAAGACAATGATTGCTTTGTCTCTTGAATATACCCAAACTGGTACTAAAGTAAACTTCCCTCTTCCTTGCCTCTTTGCTCAGAAATGCGTATAAAGTAATCTGAAGTCTACTGTAAAATGAGATTCAATTATTTATTGATGCTTGACTATTACCCAGATATTAATTTTGAACTTTAGTTTCAATTAATATCTGGGCCTTGATTCTGTGACTCACAGTTCCAAGGCAGATTGCATTGACTTGCAAGGCTGGTGTAGAGGTATGTGAACACTGAAGTCTTGACTATTCTACCGATTGTAGTAAGTGGGGGATAACTCAAGTGTACATGGCTTTAGACATTTCGATCTTAAATCAACAAAATAATTATCTACAGATATCCCATTAATAACTGTTTACATTTTGTTAGTAATACAAAGATGTATGGAAGAAAACAGCTTTCTTTGTCAATACTTTAAATTATGGAAACTTTACAGATTTACCATTCCTAGAAATTTGTAAAAATGCTGCCACATTACTCACAAGGTTATCATTCCTGATTTTGACCGATCTGTTTTCTGTGACAGGACATCAATGAAATGGTGCGAACTGAGCGTCCAGACTGGCAGAATGTCATGCTGTATGTTACAGCAATTTACAAATACTTTGAAACCTGAAACCCTAATAATTCAACAGGTCCATGGGATAGAACAAACATCAGCTACGAGATGGAAATCTTACTGAAATGCTAATCCCCATTTCACTGAAAACTGGCAACATTTGAGTCCCCTCAAACTTCAGTGACACTACCCTGGATTGCCTCAGATTGCTTCAGCTACTAAGCCTGGAAACAACTGCTTAAAAGCACGAACTTGTTGCTGCAGTGCTTGGAATAACCCAAGTTATTAAGCTATTCAGATTAATTATGTAGCCTAAAGAGCCTGGACTACTCATGTGTTGCCTTTCCAGCCAGACTTCCTGAAGCTTTCTCTTCTAGGAGAGTGACATGAATGGATCCTCTAGCATATAGGAGGCTGAATGTACAGCTAAAGCTTTGAGAAGGAAAAGGATAACATGGCATCGTATTAACTGAACTTTCTGTAGCATCCTGATACCACAGAATCTGAATATTCTACCCACAGCATACGACACCCCGATACAGTAGAGTTCTTAATGGTAATTTAGTTACTGCCTTTACAGCTATTTTCCCTCCTTAAAAATATGCACAATATTCTAGGAACACAAGCTTTTATTCCATAACAACAAATTAAGTGGAAAAGTGCTCTCAATACCTCAAAATTTGGCACAGAAGAACTCTTCATTCTAAAGCTTCATTATAAGCCTACCTCCGTCACAGTGATGTGGCTTCCAACTTTATCTTACAGATTGTAAAGACTAGCACGTACAGCTCCTGGTTTTCAGGAGTACGCTGTACTTCAAGGAATCTGTCCAAACTCCCTGTGCTTCCATTATAACAGAAATTAATCAATAGTCAACCTTTGTACAATTTGTTCTTTCCCCTCTTCCTCCTTTGCCTGTATAGCACGCACAGCTACCCCAGGCTTTACTCTACAGCAATACGAGCGTACATCATGGATTTCTGTGGTAGAATTTTGGAACTGGGATAGCGTTGCCTCTGCAGAGAAGATATTTTCAATAAGATGTAATAATGAAATAGCTTGTCTCAAAATCCAGCTTTGCCATGTTTTCTGTGTGGTTTTCATTGATCTTGCACATCCTCATCTGACTGACAGAAGGTGAGCCGTTCTCTGACAAGAACTATAGAGGAACTGATGTAATGCGTATACACCCAGTAGTCTTGAATATTGCGTGGAAATGACGCGCTGTCACAAGGAAGGAATTGAGAAACTTGAGTCTGCTCAACTTCTGGTTTCCTAAAATGTACCTGAATTCATGTAACAGCTCTTGGGCAAAAGAGTTCAAGTAAGTGCCTTAGCGATCATTGAATTGATACATCCTGGCACTTCAGGGCCTCGTGCAGAATGTTAATGGCTCAGAACGATTTCATATATCCATTTGTCATAAGCTGTTTGTTGTAATCTTGTTTGTCAAATCGAGGGAAGACTTCACTCGTATCATTGCTTCTGCCTCTTCTTTTTCTGAATACTTATCAGCAGTTAAGCCACAGTTGAACATCTTTCATTAATATTAAGCAGAAGCCTACTTTAGAATTGAGTTCTGTAACAACTGCTATTTATAAGCACATGCTCTTTCAACTCAGTAACCCTGTTATAAAGAAAATGAATCTGCCATTCTTATGGTGCTCTTATGACTGTTACGGACAGTTTGAATGTCATAGATGTTAACCCAGTGAATGCAGCTGTGCTGGCATCTGTGAAACTTCATCATGGTATAAAAGCACAGATTTAACTCAAAATTGTTGCCAAATCTGAAAACCTGTCATCTGAAGAATGTAGCCCATGTGAAGAGTAATAATTCAGCATGTCTCTAGCAGCTAGCATTATGTAAAAATACACACTTACACTGATCCGTGCCTGTGAGAATTGCAAAAATTTGCAAAATAATTACTTAATCTATGATGAGGGCCTTTGGAAAAGTTTTCAGAGCAGCAGTGTCTCATACATTCGTACAGTTCTTTAGAACCCTAAAAGTAGCTAGATACCCTCACATTGTTAATCGGTGCATTTGAAGAGCCAACGTAATCTAAAGACTATCGTTGCAAGACAGGCTTCAGTTGACAAATCTTCACAAACAGATTTTAGTATGAGTCTGAAATATAATTTCCTCTCCCATATATTGCTTAGAAAATTTTTGTTTACTTCATTTCTTCAAATAAGTTTCAGTAAGAATAGTCCTATTAGAAATACACGTTATTGCTGACTCACATTCCATCTCTTACTACTAAATTCCAGGTTTTGCCAATTTCTGTTTAAAAAAAAAATCTTCTATTCATCCTCTGAACAGAAATCGTTAGCTATGATTGTCTAATTCATTGCCTTAGATTTTAAGAAAATATTTTTCTAATTAAAAGGATAGCATTTCTTGGTCTAAATCCACTCATGACCTGTTTTGTTCAGGTAATTTGAGCTTTAGGCTGATTTTTTTCTGTCCAATGGTCAACTTCATTTACCTGAAATGTTATATGAGTCCTTAACTGACATAATGCCAATAGTATAACCATTTGTAAAAGGGGAAATCACATTTTCCAGATCCTTTCTGTTAAAAAGATGAAGTTCCAGTCTTCAGAGAGAGAGAAAAGTTATTAGTAATTATAAAAATGATCTTGTTTTGAACTTCAGAGCTCTGTAAACTTCTTAGTGCGATCTGTCTGATAAACCTCTGCTGAATTCATATCTGTAAAGGAATATTGGGCTCCAGGAAGAGGTGTTTTATAATTAGCCTTTACATATAAGATGCTGCACAGCTGTCCAAGTGGAAGTAATGAAGCAATGGAATATCTAAACCAATGCCCTGCTGCAGTCTACAACATATTTCTGAAGGTTCAAACAGCATTAAATTTTTCAAGAGGAAAAATACCTTCTGGACATGGATGATAATGTTCTGTTTGGTTCCTACTCACAGTTAATCCTGAAACAGCCTGGGGTTTTGTACCGATGAAGTGCAAGTTTATGCTGACTTACTTTCCTTTCTTTTTAATCCAGCAAATATTTCTGAATGTACTAAAAAAGGACAAATATTTTATCATCCATTTACATTATTGCATTTTAATATGTGCCTTGCAAATACCTGTGCTGTGGTATATATATATGGGTTACTCATTGCCAGTCATAGGGGTTGGGTGGACAACAGCTGTATCATCTTCTGGATCCTGTTTACTGAAACACTTCCATAAATTAGAGACACCGGTTTAGAGCCAGATGTGTATTTGGTTTGGCTAGTTGTTATCCTTATGCAAGATCATCAGCGATGAACTGAATGAACAGTTGTGGGGTTTTCTTTACCAAAAAAGAAGGGATGGGAGGAAAAGTTTAATTTTGGTTATTCAGGAAAATTCTGAAAGAGAAATTTTGATACGGAGTATCTAACCATAACAGAACTGAGGTGACTTCAGAGTGGATTACACTTCACTTGGTTTTCAGTTGGTTTTGTCTGAGCCAGTTTGATTTGGTTGTGTTGTATATTTAAATAGAAACACGAATTTAGTAACTCTGGTATGAATCTCAGTGGGTCTCACAAAGATCTCTTGTTCTCGTGCCTCTGAAAGAATGTGAGTGAAATTTTCCTTTTTAAATTTGTGTTTGTGGATAGGTTATCCAGAATATAGTATTTAATTGCAGCATATTCTGATGTAAAGGTAAATTTTTGTCTCTTTTGCATAAAATGTATTCCTTGAGTTATATGTAGCATTTCTGATAATATTTTGTTTCCAGTTTTATAAAATGTTTCCACTGTTTCTGTTTTTCCTATAAAGTCCATCATCGTGCTTTAGGGGCCCCTTAATTTGCCAGAGCTAAATGAACTCAGCTTTGATGTATTGGTGTAAACTCATACTAAGATCACTGGCAGCAGTCATACTCTGGTTTTACATGCATAAGGGGAAATAAATTTGTCCGTTGCTCTAATGATGCAGTACAGTGGTTTAAACTGCTGAGGATCTGCCTTAAGAATTTTGTAGCTGTGACAAAAAAATTCTCGTTGGCATCTTACTTCTGTTAATGATCTCAAAGTTAAGTTCTTATCTATTTTTTCAGTTCCCTGATTCAGCACTTCAGGCATTTGGATTCTGTTGCATCTTTTGCGTTACAAAAAAAAAAATTACTTTTACTTAGTTCTGTCTCCTTCTGTACAGTTTTGGCCCGGAGTACAAATTTTATTACAGCTTACTTTTGAACACAATTATTTGGGAAGTTGGAGATATGGAGAAATTCTGGGTGCTTTTCTTATTTTCTGTGTCCTGCTTATCATTGTTTTGGGAACGCTGTCTGTTTTTCAGGTGATATGTGACAATACCTTCCAAAGCTGCCTCCTCTGGATGGCTGGCGTGAAGCTATGCATTGGCTAAAGTTAAGCCATTAAAACTGTGTTCATGTGACGCGTGGTGACTTTACTTCTTACTTGGCTCTTGCAACTAATACAGTCACAGCTTAACTGCAGGCTGCATCGAGCAGGAGCTATCAAGGGGCAGAATTCTTCTGGGAAAGAATCCAGTTGTACACCTTTACACTATTTTTTGCCTATTGTGAATAACACTCTTGCTGAGGTGGCCTAAGAAAGAGGATTTTAAAATAGTACTGTTCATGTACAGACTGATTTAACTATATAGTTTGTTTGTGGTCCTTCCTTTGACTTGGTAAATATTTATTTCTGTTTTATTTTTATGTTCTGCCAAGCTCTATTTCTGCAGTTCCTTTCTTTAAGCTAGCATTAGTGTATGAATACTCAGTAATACTAACCAGTTTGAGAAATGATTTGGTGAAAAGTGGTATTAAAGTGTAGTTGTCGTCCACGAGTTCCAGACGTGCCACTGTGCTTTCCCAGGTTAGTGTGTGTTGATTGGCAAAACATGTTAGAGCTGCTTAACTCTCCCACGACTCCCTTATCTCCCATAACAGCCTACATCACTCCAGGGTGTCCATCAGGTGTTCTTGTCCCCCAATTATCAACTCCTTAAATGAGTTAAGGGTTCGCGGACATCCCTTAATATATTTAATTGTCCCTATTTAGAAAGGTATCTCTAATAGTGTTTCTGCTTTCACAGGAGAGTAGCTGGATGGCTTTTAAATTACTGTCTCCCTTGCTGAGCATTCCCAGTCCTTCATTCATCGAAGTTTTTTCTGTTGTATTCCCTATGATTTCAGTATCAGTGTTGCAGTATGCTTTGTAAATGTCAAAGCCAAGATGTTAAGCATCTGGAATATCTAGCAAGTATGCTTTTGATAATTAATGCTAAATAACTTAAAAGATCAAGGTTTGTACAGTTCTGATTTCTGTTAGAGCGTTGATACGAGTGTCTCTTTTCCTTACGTATTTGCGCTTGCCAGGTTTTGGGGTGCAACACCCTTGAACTCAGTTTGACAAGGCCACTATCCTAGCCTCCATAAATTAATTCCTTCTGTGATAATAGGATTATTTCCTCACACTGAAACTTCAGTAAAACCTAAGAATACCAGATGACTTCCTTCCAACTGACATCTATTACTTGGAATATTCCTTACCCTTAGGCCACTGTCTGCTACAGAGTTGCACATAAAGTTCCCATCAGTTCCAGCAGGACTTGTGGATGCAAAACGGTAGGGTAAACTTCTGGCAGAATATTATGGCAGCCTGATGCAATTAAGCTGGTCTCATTTTAATCCCCTATTTTCAGGGGGTTTCAGTTTAGCCAAAATCACTTACTTAGAGCTGACATGTGGCACGTTTGTTCTCCACTGGGAAGTATGCTTCTGTTTAATAATATTTTTATGAGATTGTATTTATGGAAACTGAAAGAAAAATGTCATGAAGCTAGTTTTGTTGCACTTTTCTAAGGCTTTTGTATTTTGCATAGAGTTCTAGGATATGAACAAGTTGTTTGGGGAAGTCAAGGCATAAAACTTACTGTGCCCCAACATAGTAACATACTGTGTGCATTTTCATTCTAGTGATATATGTATTACTTTAATGGCATGTAACTCGTGTATTTATATGGTAGTTAGGAAGCCCAGCGGACATTTCCTGCTGCAGAGGAGCCATTGGCAGTCCTGGTTCCACGGTTCATGAACTGACCTGTTTTGACAGTAGACTGCATTTGCAATAACGGAATAGTCAATTTGTATTTCTGAACTCTTATTTCAACAAATGGAGAGAAAGATGCTCTCTTTTTTTTTCTTTTTTTTTTTTCTTTTGTCCCATTGTTGAAATTTCTCTGGGGGCTTTTACTGGTTTCCAATTATTGCGTACATTCAATTACACAACTAAATGTAACATCCTCAAGTAATTAATCCTTGTAACTTACAACATTTCAGTTTGTTAGAAACTTGGTTTTGCGTATATTGTAAGGTCAATTTTACTATTTCTAAGTAGCACTTTTATACGTTATCTGAAGGGGTTTTTTGAACAGAAGTGGTTTTTTCTGTATGTTATCTAATGGAAAGAAAGTATAACACTACTAAACAAAGCATAGACTAGTTAGTCTTCAGACTGTAAGTTTACTTTAGGTCAGTAATGATCAAGAGTTGTTCAATGTGTATGAAATAAATCAGTGATCCCGTTTCATATTGGACAACTCTCCAGATCAAAGTCAGAAGGGCATTAATTGGTACCCTCCAACTCTTGGATGAGGGTACTGTCAGTTCAGGTGTGAGGCAGAATTGACAGAACAGCGTGATGAATTTTGGACTTCATGCAAGAACAGAATTTTATTGATGTCTCAGTCTAACTTCACAGCACTGTATTGGATAAGGACTAACCTTGTTTGTGATGACACTGCAGCCAGTACTAATATCTCCTAAATAGCTAATTTAAAGCTTATTTTCCATGGCCTTTAAAGATGACGTAAGAAACACTGATTCTTAAAAGCTCTTCTCATCCATCTAGCTTTTCTGATTTGTATTGGTTTTATACTCCCTTGAAACACAACTGTTTGTTAGACTGACCTAATAGGGCATGTATGGTTTAGTAATTCTTCTTGTAGACAACAAGCACTTTTCTCTTTTCCAGAACCCTTTCAAATGGGTTACAGGCACACATTGACATATATAGACATTTTACATTTATAGAGAGGCTTTACAGAAATGTACGTATACATACACACATATGTACATGTGTGTATACATATATGTACAAGTGCAAGTTCTTAATAAAAAAACGTTTCAGGAAGTGCTTGAGTCTTGAATACTTAGAGTGGTGTATTAGCGTATACATTTAAAAGGTAAGGAAGAAAAAAATATTTTGTTTGTTTCTGGTTAGAGCTGAGAAATACAGGTTTGAGGAAAATTTGGAAGTATGTTCAAATTGTATTTCACCCTGTTTCTGGTTTGAAAGGCACAAGCTGTTAATCATTGGAACTTAAAATGTCAGCAAGCGTATTTTAAGCTAAATCTTTTGGAGGACCAATATGCTTTTAGTTTGCAAGGACCATTAAAGATCTGGGCATTTACTTTCTCCATAATGTATTCTGTACGAGTATGTAGTATGTATGCCTTCAATTTGCCGATGTTGCCATGTTTTCTTCTTAATTATTCATGAAATAAAGACTGCAAATAGCAAAACGTGTGTTTATGTCTTCTTGAGTGAAGCCGCTATAAAAGGGAGTATTTTAGCAGTATTTGTGGCACCACGGTGTTACAGGAAGTGGTTTGTGTAGGTTTATACGCTCTGGATGGGAAGTGCATGCGAATGATTTGCATGTACATAACCTCATGATTTTTTGGAAGTCATGTCTCTCTTGGAATACCAGCATACTTTATCTACCCCCAAAGGGTTTGAAATGATAAGATGGTGAATACCCTAGATAAATACGTACCTCTTAAGGCAATCTGCTTAGCCTGTATTATCCTAGGCTTGAATATGAGTAACAGAGAAGAGAACTGTAGAGAATACAGTTCAGTGTAGGCAACTTTTGTAATACATTGCAAGATTACAATGATTTATATACTTAACCCTACACAAGTAAGACAATGTATGCGTGTGTGCTAGCTCACTCCCTGTCTCTCTAAAGGAATTGGGCTGGGGAGGGATTGGGGACTTAATCTCTCTAACAGTTCAGAGTATTTAAAGCAGATCCCTAAAAATAAAATTTCCAGGTGAAAGACTAGAACACCTTAAATCTGACTTGGCCTCAATTATCCTGGATGGTAACTGGTTTCAAGTGCTGTTTTAGAGCTTTAATTTCAAGTGCTCTGGAATAAATTGGATCCAGAGGCTTGGACTGAGCTCCTATTTATTTCAAATGTTTTTAAATACACTGACTAGCATAGGTATTTTAATTCCACCTATTTGTTATGTAACTTTTTTAAGGGGTTTTTGTGGTGTTTTCTGACTGTTCAGCAATCCAGAAAAGTCTCAGTAATGTTATTCTGCAAGAAAATGTCTTGCTGCTGCTTTCTTGAGGTGAAAGAGTCTCCCTGAATTTGAGTGGTTTAAGGCAACTTTTCAAAACTGATTCATATCCTGGTTTTAAGCATGGATCTTCAGTTTTCGTACTTTTAAAAATAAATATTTTAAAAGTGTAATGTAGTAAACTCATGTCAGAAAACAGATGTTTTTCTTTTCTGTAGCAAGTGCATGACAGCACTGTAGAAATGACTTGTACACCTGCAGTTGGCAATTGAGGGTCAGAACAGAAGCAGCGACCCGGACGCCGGTCAGGCCTAAGGTACGCTAAGCCAGCAGTGTCTGCACAGTCTGCAGAACTGCAACTTTTCCTTCCCATATCCACTGAAATAATATTCCCTAACCAAAGTTTTTTTCATGGATTGTCTTCCAAACTGTCACTAGAGAATCTTGTTAAAAATGTGAAACTAGCTCCAGAAGTGTGTTTTAAGTTGAATATAATAAAATCAGTTAAATAATTTTGAAGGTCTTATTATTGTAATGAAAAACTGCAACTATATGGAATAGGAAAATAAAAACTTCAGAAGCAACAGTAATTTAATAATACTATTATTATATATATATATATAAAATATAATGTAATAATACCATTGTATTAAATCACAAAAGCTTATATTGGAGTCATGGTTGTCCTACAGTTAAATTTTGCATGGGAACTAGGTTAGCATTACCAAACTTTCACTTAAAATTCTTATCATAAAGGGTTTCACAATTGCTTTGATCAGTGGAGGAGACTTGGGTTATATCACGTATGTTGCCAAGAGCTGCATAGACAAGAGGGGCTCATGAAGATGTAAGTTCTTCCCACACAGAATTCTTTTAAAACAGAGACACTAACTTATCATAAAAGTTAACTCCCATCTCCAGATGGGAAGTTATTAATAGCCAGCAACTACTGTTAAGACTTTAAAAAAAAAAAAAAAAAAGGTGCTGAATTCTGTGCCTTTCACATTGTTCGCCCTCTCTTAGTTCCCTCAGTTAGTGTTTTGTCTACAGGGGTTTTTTTCAGCACTGCCTTTCCTTGTGCCCAGCATTTGCGTTCTCCTGGTTTCTTAAACTGGTATGTCGTCTTTTTCGTCCTCAGTACTAAAGGTTGAGTAGTGAGGTACACAGTTCTTTGAATTGCTCAAAAAGTAGTGATGGAATTGTGGAGAGCTCCAATACCTTCCCTATGAGTCACTGCTTGATGCTGCAACCCAACACCTTGAATGGAGAAGTTGGCTAATTAGTGTCTCTGTTCCTGGCAGCTCAAGATTAGAAGATCTTTTGTCTAATTAAATGGCTTTTATTAGCTTCACTTCTGTTAGAAAAGTTGCTTTGAAATTTCTCCCATGCATCTTTGTTTACAAAAAATTTTGTCTATGAATTCTAAAAAAAAAAAAAAAAAAGGAAATAAGGGACTAATGCCATCAATCCTAATCCAAGTTAAGATTTTTACTAGTCTTTATGTCTGCCATTTCCCTCTGTATCACTATGGTTTAACTGAACTCTGTTTGTAGAACTGAATTTCTGCATATGCAGTGCCCTGTTTGAAAAATATGCTGACTTTTCTTAGATGTTTTTTGCCCTTCAGGATTTCCAGTTCTTTGGAACCTCCTTCACCTCATTATGAAAACAGGGTTGAACACAGTAGTGTCTTATTACAATATTTTTCCTGCTAAACATTTGCATTGATTATATATTGTGAGGAAATATTTGTGCTTCTCCCCAGTGCTGAGCATAGCTCACTCCCTTGTTTCTGCTTCCTTTTCTTAAACCATTTTAGGCTCTCTCCTCGTGCCAGAAGCCTAAAAGTTAAGCTCTTAAAAATGAAAGAAACTTGAGAAAGAGACATAACAGTCTGGAGACAACTTCACTGAGCTGTTGACAGTATCATATTTTTCAAAAATAAATATCCCACAGAGCACCAAAATGCCAGTGTGTTGAGTTAACACTGTGTGTGGGGCCACATTCAGAGTCCCTCAACTGCAGTGGAGTAAAGCCTAGGGCAAAGCCTGTGGTGCACATAACCAGTGACCTCGCTTGAAAAAGAAAATCACAGCATTGGACGGTATGATCCTGAGGGGTGCTGAGCTGCTAGGTGTTCAGTCCTTCCAACAAATCTTTCCCATAAATGCCAGGTCTAACAGTAATACAGCTGGACTGTTGTCCCAGCAGAGAAGAAATGTACAGAGAAGGCATGCCGCAGTTTTCCTCTTGGCCAGAGGTACAAACATTATGCAGCCATTGGAACAGGGTGCTAAAACACTAACTTCACTTTATAAACCTACAAACTTCCATCACTTTGCACCAACATTTCCAGCACACACTATTCCCTAGCAAGGAGCGGTGGGGAGCAGTCAGTAGCTACTTTTTGTGTCCAATTTGTGTTGTGACCGAGCTTGGTTATACACAATGTGGATTTTGTCAAGTTAAATAAGGGTTGCCCTCTCGTTGCTCCTTAGAATAAAATGAGAATAGTGTAAGTGAAGAAGAATCATCTGACTTCTGCTGGGCCTTGCAGCTCCAACAGTTCATTTATTGTATAAAGGTAACTTCTATATATTACTATTATAGAAAATAAATAGCTGTTGCTCTGCAGCTCCCACATGATGATTCATGCTACCAGTTTTCTTCTATTAATAGTCTACAAAGAGTGCTTAAATTTAGACTGAACTCCATCTCATAGTCTGTCATGCTGAATAGCATTTAGAGAAATGAAGCCACAGTCTGTTTGGGCAGTGCCTTTTACGGAGACTAGTCCAAATCTCGACATGAAATTACTGAAAATCCTTTCGTTCCTGACCTGAGTGCAAATCATAGAATCATAGAATGTTTTGGGTTGGAAGGGACCCCTAGAGGTCATCTAGTCCAACCCCCCTGCAGTGAGCAGGGACACCGCTAACCAGATCAGGTTGCTCACAGCCCCGTCCAACCTGGCCTTGAATGCTTCCAGGGATGGGGCTTCCACTACCTCTCTGGGCAACCCCTTCCAGTGTTTCACCACCCTCATTGTAAAGAACTTCTTCCTCATATCTAGTCTAAACCTACCCTGGTTTAGTTTAAAACCATTACCCCTTGTCCTGTCACAGCTGGCCCTACTAAAAAGATTTTCCCCATCTTTCCTATAGGCCCCCTTTAGGTACTGAAAGGCCGCAATCAGGTCTCCCCGCAGCCTTCTCTTCTCCAGGCTGAACAACCCCAACTCTCTCAGCCTGTCCTCATAAGAGAGGTGCTCCAGCCCTCGGATCATTTTTGTGGCCCTCCTCTGGACCCGCTCCAACACTTCCATGTCCTTCTTGTGCTGAGGGCTCCGGAGCTGGATGCAGTGCTCCAGGTGAGGCCTCACCAGAGCAGATGGCAGGATTTAAACAGTGTTGTGGATGTAGGTTTGCATTTCCCTGTGAGCACAGATCTTACCTTGACTTTAGCTTGTTTTCCTCTAGCCTGGGTAAAAGTTGAACTCCTATGCTGGAATGGAACTGTTTGCGAGAAGGCTCCGGTCTTTGACACAGACGAGTGTCCTTCCTTAAGTTGCTAGCAATGGGCATTTCCAGCAAAAATTTTGCATGTGTAACTTTTGTTAAAGGACACTCTCTTCAGAAAATCTAGCGCTTTTTTCAGTGTTGATTTTAAAATTGCTAACAAATCTTTAAAGTTGAACAATATGAGAGAAATAATTGCATATATATACACATACACTTTTTTTTATGTATATCTATCTTTAATGTTGAAGGATTTGCTAGTGTTTTTAAGGGACCGCAAGTAATCCTGCCTCCATCCCTTCTCATAGACAAACTCTAGTGCTTTTCACTGCTTCGAGGAGATTCAGGCAGTATTTGTGGGAATGGAATTATGTACAAGTCAGAACGCATCATTTGAAGTGTTCTGTTTAACAACATTGTGTATGTGTGCTCATGCAATACCCGGTCTGATGCTTCTTTGCAAAATACGCATCCCTTGAATGTAATTTTGCATGTATCAGATGATTCAGTCTGGTTAGAAAGAAAAATTTGATGACAGAGGAGAGCTTCAAAACTGGCAAAGAGTGATTGCTGTCTTAAAGAAATAATTTTTTTTTCTGTTTTAAAAAAACATTCATTTTTCCAGATTCTGTTCTAGACAAACTGATGATCATTTTCAGTCCT